TTCTTGGAACCCGAGAAATGGGACCCCTTCCTTGCCCGTTGATTTGCGCACTCTCATCGCTGTGCCCTCTTCAACACTACGCTCTCTCTCTGCTATCTAATCACTCGCCACGTATAGACCTGCGGCGAGTGATGTCGGTGGGCGTACCCCGCCAACCGCGCCAAGAGTGAGCCATGCTAGATCGCCGAGGTCAAATCTTTCGCTGCCAATTGCGCGTCGGTCAGCACCCTCAGGAGGTCCGCCTGTCTCCCAACTATGCAATTTCCCCTTCTTTGACCTTCGTTTTATCATTCCTTCTTTGTAGGAGCTGCGTCCAGTGAATTTTAGGTTAGAAGCTAGCCAAGAGGAGTGAGACATAGGACTAAATGGTTAAGAAACTGCTTCGCTAACATAGCACTACACCATTGGAGGAAGATCACGTCTCAAATACTATAAGTGATTGAATACAAACCCCACAGATAGGGGTCAATGAAGCCATTTATTTCATTTCATTGGCCATATTTTTTAACCTTCAGTGACGCGACATTAAACCCCGTTCCGAAAGTATTTTGGTAGCAAAGGAAGAAGAAAAAGATACCAACTTATAACAGATGAAAGCACACTCACTCTCTGCACATTCTATCAACAACGCCCCAATACTCATACGGACATCCAAACCATTCGCAATCACCAGGTCCAACGTTGATATTTACCGAAGCAAAGCAGTTGTTCTCTTGATGAGCAGGTGTACGTGACCCGGGAACCTGAAATGTCAAACGTATTCACACATACGCATGTAAAGGCACAATTGAGAAAAAGATCCAGCTTTTCGTGCAAATCGGAGAGTGATTTTGGATAAAGCTAACGTGAATGGGGCAAACGCCAAGCCTTCAAGAAGAGTGGAATGACCGTGAAAAAAAAAAGTATGCAACAATGTTGAGCCAGTAGGCCATATTACAGAGCCTAAGAATAAAGGTAAATGAAACAAGAAGAGTAAAAGCTAGTGAAATAATTGACTTCAATTAAATAATGTGTCATCTTAGAAAAAGCCTAAGCAGGTATTCTCCATGGTTCGTAGGCGGGAAAATCTTCAGCCAGATTATTCACGTGAGGGCAATTAATCTACAAGGAAAACGGGAACATGTGAAAACAAGGGATTTCATAATCCTGGTAACAAGAAACAACTTTGTAGATTTAGCTAATGACAATGTAGTTATTGAAGATGTGCTAAGCAGTTTAGGCTTCAGAAGTACTACGTAAAAAACCAGGACAGATGGTTATATGAGTAAAATGACTGCATTTGTTCACTTACTTTCATGTATAGCTGAGTGGTATTCATTCCAAGAACCGTATGGCCGAGATGAGAGAGCATATTGCAACCTGCTATGATGCGACAGAAAGGAGGCATTTTCGCAAGTTCCTGAACACGATGTATAAATGATGCTCAAGTTTTACTGAAGAAGAACACCCTCACTTGTATTTGTGCTTTCCATTTGGTGTCATCAGAAAGGTCAACATTTGTGCCAAACTTCAACATTTTCATAGGCATTGCGCATTCGTCTCCATTGATTCCTCAACACAGCTCGAAGTTATGAACAATATAAAGAAACAACACTGCTCGTGAAACGCATTTAACAGCAACTAAGGAAAATGCTTGCTGATACCTCTTCTTCTCTTGACACCTGCCGATTCAGCTACATGTTGAGCATATTTTGCACCAGCAGAACGCAACTTCTCAGCTTCCTCTGAAAAATTAGATTTGCTTCCTAGTCTGTTGTCAATTAAACAGTATGCATATAACTATGTGCGCTGGAGCAGTAAATAAGAACACCTTTCAACGAATGCTTGAAGGTTTCAGCTTGATATTGGGCATATTTCATGACCGTTGTAAACGACCGTGTGCTCATACATTCCCACGTTGGTTGACCCAAGTGATCGACATTCATATCACACGGCATTCTGTACTGTGTCCGTACCTAATAAGGATGTTAAAATTTCATTGCAAAGTTCAAGATAAACAAAAAAACAACATGCGACCACGAACCTCCACTTCATGGTCAGGTGCCATCTCAAGAAGAGTTTTTGTGGAAAACAGGCTGAGATCCATTTTCAGTACACCGGTCAAACCCCTTATGAGAGCTATTGGAGAGCTCTCACAAAACCTGAACGACAGCATTATCGAATGATTAATATTTTTGAAGCATCCTTGATGATCGCTACGATGAAAAAATCTATTATTATAAAAAATTGGGATGCGCCGAAAGACTGTTTCATTGCAAAACGCTAAAATGAAATATTTTTCGCTACAGTTCCCATAAAAGTTTCCCTAAGCATGATAACCAAAAAATTAGCAGTACTACTCTTTCCCAAGAATTGGACAATATTTTGGATGTTGGTTTGCCCAATCAAATGAGAGCAATATATAAAATAAAAGCTAAACGAAAATGCAGTTGAAAAATGAACCTCGAGAAAATTGAGGTAATTTAGATAAGAAAACATAAAAGAAAGGAAAACCTTTGCAGTTCCGGCGCTTGAGCATCCTTCCTTGATTCAACGACAACAAGCGGAGTCGGCCGAAGGAGAGCGGATGATCGGCCAGGCGACGCGGGCTTAAAATCAATTACCTATTGAAACGATGAAACATACTCGCCCGTCTCCAACATTATGATTTAGGAATCATCGCACAACTAAATGCACTAAGCGGTGTTCGCATTGAGGTTCGTCATTGGCTTCAAAGCAACTGGAGCTCGACCTTTGTGAAACTCACCGTACACACCCCTCCATCCCAAGGTAGAATACGGCTGAAAGAGAGGGGTGCACTGTCCGGGTGTGATCGGAATTTCACTTCCAGCTTCATTACGGAATGCCCTTACAATACTATCTTATCTCGGGTTTCGTCTTTAACAGGTCCGTTCTAAAGCAGCAGAAGAAGTAACTGTAGTAAAACTCACGGATAACTTGACGCAGGGCGCATCAGGCGGTTGTGGTGGGGGCACTTTCTCACAAAAAATCGGAGTAAACTCTGCAGGACGATCAATTCGCTTAGAACACATCTCCATGAGCTCGGAAGACGAGATGTCTAACGGCACCAACAGGGGAGCAAGGAGACTGAAATTATCATCAAAAATTTCCTCGAACAAAAAAATAAACCCAATCTATTAAACTCTCGGTGAGGAAATGCTAATATGTTATAAAGTAAATAAAAAGCCAAAGTCGAAGAGGCAACATTCAGTTGCAAACACACACTTATTAAGAAGTGAATAGAGAGAACAGCTGGCTTTTTGCCTGTGATTCTCCAACCATGTGCCCTTTTTGCGTTGTCCGAAAAAACCGCAAGACGATTTATGGTGCAAAGCCAGTTACTAATACAGCAATGAACAAGAGAAATAGGGATCAACCAGGTAACCAATAGTAAGGGCCAGTTGAAATGCAATGTAACAAAAGAAAGAGAATGATAAACATGAGATTTCTTCTCTAATCCTTAAAGTGAATAAGGATTTTTGCGACAGCTTTCTCCGATAAATACTGTTCAGAAGCCTTATGATATTAGAGATAATCGCCAAAACCTAATGGTCGTGCCTACGAATATTACAATAGAAGTGGAGCTACTATTGGTACTCAAATCGTATATTTTCACATCACCAAATAATAAGAGGTTGCAATGTGAGACTGCATCGCGTTCTACTGAAACCTTCCATTCTACTTCTACTGAACATATGCAGGAAAGATGCATGTAGGAAGAGGAGAAGAAACAAGGGACTTTTTGTTTATGCCGCTAATTAGGAAACCCTCCCCAAAGAGTTTTACAGTGAAAATGTTCCTGGAATATCTCGCCGTGGGCAGAACCAATCCCTTGTTCACTGTCATCACCGCTCAGTGTATGAAGTCATCAAGAGCTCCGGCCTGAGACTGCTACTTGATCTTTCAAATCGATTTCACTGGTGCAAGTTCAGAGACTGTAGTTCTGACTATCCAAGACCCCTGCCGAGCACTTTTTGGGCAACATGGTTGTGAGCCACGACCTGTCGATGGAATCGTTGAACTAAAGGGTCCACACTCCTTTGGCAGACCTCTTAATGCGTCGTTTCTTAGCAGAATGTGATTGAAGGTTTTTTGCCTCCACCTTTATGTGGAACAATAGCACCCCTCGAACATACATTGATACTTCTTCAAACGCTTCTTTACCGTATTGTCAAACACAGTACAGGCATTCTGAGATATTAGTTAAAATAAGTGAAAAAAATGGCCAGAGAGAAAAAAGCAAAATCAAGTGTTAAAAATAAAGAATATAAATGTGCCATACCTAAATGTACACGGTAGTTCGCCAAGAGGTGGAGAAGCATCATGTTCATATTTCACAACTTTCGTATCTTCTATAAATAAAAGGTAATCTAGAACCAAATGATAAATGAACTGATATCCACACTTTTTGATACTTACCTTCTTCTTTGATATTAGCTGTTGCAGGGAGTTGACGATTGACTTTCACATCAACTTCGTTGATTGAAGAAAAACTTGTGGTTGTTTGAGTGAAGATATGCTGTGATTCAGTGGATTCACTCTGAAACAGAAAAATTGATAGAAAACAGAACAATTGGTTTTCAGAATGAAAGTTCATCAAAAACAAAAATGAAAACACACCATACAATCGCGATATCGCAGTTCCAACTGGTCAAGCACTACCTTCTCCTGTTCATTTATTCTGTCCTTGTTCATCTGGAGAAGCCTCATCATTTGCAGCTGCGTTTTCTCCAAAGGTGAAACAACCGGTACTTCCTGAAATCACAAGAAGTGATTCATGACGGAGAAATATCGAAAGCAAGAAATTCACCTGGACGCCCTCTAGCGGGGCGGCTAGCTCCCCCATCTTCCAAATTGCACTTCCGTCGCGATACCGCTGATGTTTTTGCTGAAAAATAATGGAAAATACAAGCTCTGAGGAACCCTCTAATAGCAACGGTGTGATCTTAAGTCAAATGAATGGAAGTACATTGGAACTAACCTTGAGAAAATCTTCCTGCCTGACTCTCAGCTCCGACGGAATAGGCTGCCCCCACGCGTCCTTCAAGCAAGGAAGCCGGAACGACCTTCAATGAGAAATATGGCGCTACTACATCCATACCTATCACACAGCAGGAGAAAATCATCAAGTAATAATCACATAAGGATCAGTTTCCAGAGTCATTGAGTTATGCCACTTCGGCATAACTTTATTCAAAAAACATGGATTTCTATACTGGTAGACCAAACCAGCATAGAAATCCATGTCAAAATTAATGATTGGGAAAAAGGCATACTCGATACAATCTGAACTTCTCTCATCGTAGAACCTCGCCATAGTTGTAATTGGTAGAAGAACATTATATTAAATTTGATGTAACTGATGTAACAAATCCACTCCAATAGAATTTCATTTTAAATGTGGTATTAAAACCTCCACATGGCAAAAAAAGGGAATAGGACAGCTTGCCTGGAGAGCAGTTCTCCGAGGCGTTCTCAAAGAACCTTTAACGCACTAGTTAATTGTACATGCGCATGGAGAATGCAGACCCTTATCACATCAATAATCACTTAGCGACCGCATTTCGCTGCGCTAAGTACTACATCGCGGGAAAAAAAACTTACTCCGTTCAATCTGGGTTGTGTCGTAACGCATGCGAGATAGGAAGGTCGATGGGAGAAAGAAGAGGGGGCGGGGAGCTCAACGAGTGATTTCTTGAAGAGGTCACAGAATCCGGCTTGGAAAAGCAAGCGATGAAATCAAAAAAACAGGCTTAGGGTAGCACATACAATAAAAGGCGAGGGATGTGAAAATCATACCGGCCCTTTGAGCGCGAGCAAAATTGCTAGGACCATCACCCAAAACTCATGCGGGTCACCAAAATCCAAAATTTACGTTGAGACGAATATGACAATAAGAGTGAATCCGACAGGGCGTGGCGAACACGAGCGTGAGAGGGAGGAAGAGGCGTTGACATTATATTGAAAAGAATGACAGTAGGCGGGGAAAAGCACTGCGTGGGCCGAGATTTAATTGAAATGAAAACAAATTACCAACGTCGGTAGTTGAGATAGAAGAGAAAATTCCAGCAGCAATAACCGCATAATCGAAAAATTCTACAGTGTCCAACCTTTCAAAACTTGTTAACTTTAAGAGGCTCTAGTGAACCTGAAGGGTAGACTACAACGAAATAAACGTCAAATAGAGACATTGAGGAGGTACGTGGCGCCTCTATGTTTGTCGAGATGTGCTCCGCAGGCATCTCTGTGTTTGACTTTCCACAACGTTGTCTCTGTGACTGACCTCCGAGTACTTTACAAACCAACCTTATCAATCCACCTACATCACCAAACCTAGCAATGTACACAACTTCACAGCTCCACTCTAAACCCCAAACCCTTTACTTATTTGCTTTTACTACTCCCTTCCATCACTGATTCATTAAATTATTTATGAAGTGATTGATGAGCGCGATGGAGCGCCTATCTCCGAGCATGCTTCACTAAGCAACCAGCCGATACATTTCTCTTGTCCCATCCCACGCCCTTCTCATACGCTACATAACTACGTGACATCTAGCTGAAATAGCTAGGGAAAGTTGAGACAGCAACACGCCAAAAATACTGAAATGTTCCACGTACGAATTAGGAGGTACAGTTCTAGTACTGGAGAAATGAGTAGACGTTTGAAGTTCCTTCTCAAGTACAATAATGCGAGCCTTCAGCGGTTCCGGAGCTGCTGAAATATGTCCAGAAGAAAAAGAAAAGAATTATAATGAAACATGCACGTAAATTTGCCATTATGGGTGTCAAGCGTACGTCTCACATTGATATTATCATTTCTATATCTTCGTTTTAAGCATGAAATTCGTCACAGTGACTACTCAGAACAAATATCCACGCAAAATCGCAATCTCGACATTTGCTACTAGGATCACAAAAATGGTAAATTGCACAGTGTCAGCCATGAACACTAACTGGATATACCAAGACAGGATCAACAGACTTGTTAAGGATAAAAAAAACTGGCTTAATCATCAGCTGCAGCAGCCAATGAATCTGCCTGTCTCGCTTAGGCCTAAGGCGCATTTAAACGCGGCTACGATTGTAGAAGAAATTGATCTCAAAAAATACCAAGGTTGGATCACCGATGTTTTTTATCAATGGATCAAAATCATAACTTTTTCAAATTTTAATCATAATGAATAAACAGAACCACAAAAAACGTAGGGGAGCACTTGTTGTTCAAAAACATTACTCGCCCAACAAACGCTACTAGGGCTGGCGGTGATAAATAGCGCCACGCGGCAAAAAAAAAACGCTCCTCTGCCTCCAAATTTGAATAACCCAACGTAAGTAGGATCCTGAGCTAGACAATTCATAAAGAAAAGTCCAGGATATGCAAGCTTAGTTGATACATAATCGCCTACTCACTTTTTCTAGGGAGAGGGCGGAGTCCATATATCTGTTGAGATACTTACCAATGGAAATGTCAAGGGCTGCTTACACTTATGGATTAACACCAACACCTACAGATTAACACTTGTAAAGGCTGAAATCGTAGAACAAAAAGAGGCCTGCGTGTATAATGGGCTTCAAATGTCCCAACCTGGCTACCTTCTCATGACCTTCAATTCCCTACCCACACCCGTCTCCTATCATAAAACAATTGATGCTTTGGCGGAATCAATGCGAAAATTTAATGACATATCGCTCATAAGTAAAAACCAATGGCAAATCAACAGTGCTTCAACGAAGCAGGAAATGTCGTCATGGGCACATGGGAACACAACGAAGAGAGGCACGTATTACTACAATCAATATTTCCAGCAGAGCCACTCATGAAAACAGAGATAGGGACGTCCCTCAAGTCCACTACACCACGAACTCAAAACCATATTTTGAAGCATGTTTGAAATAGGACTCGTCTTCGGAATGGTCCCCTTTCGCAACCTCAGTGCCCGACCCATAATCTGCACAACACTTTCTGATTGAAAATAACCACGCTCCACGGGGCCCTAATCAAGGGACCAACGAGGCATTTAAAAAGTGTTGTTTAGGGAGAGCGATGAGTCCAAAACAAGGATGTACGAGACAGTTGAGCGCGTGCCAATGAACAACCACTATCGATCGACTACTCCCGCGTCCTCCGCCGCAGCCTTCTCTCTACGATGGCGGTGCGACGACCTCGACAGATGGAACACCCGCTACCCTTGCCTGCCCCACGCGGGCGTGGTAATTGCGGTGGACGGCGGCCAGCCAGCCCAGCCATTCGTTTTCCGCGTTAGACTGCGTGCTTCCCGAAGATGCAAAAAAGGGTGGCATCCAAACAGGAGGCAAATAGCAATCAAATTGCTGCATTCGAATCGAAGGTGCTTCACGAGTAGGGTGGGGGACTGCTGCCCGCTACTATACTGGGAATTCGTGAGCCAGGGGGAGTGTAGCCAATCTAGGGGGTGGGGGTGAGGGCAGTCACTTGACATGCGTGAAAAGCTGGGCGTGCCCACCCCACTTGTATAGAGCCGAATCGAATATTCCAGGGCAGTATAACTGGATGAATTCATTTTCAAACATGGTAGAGCAATGGCGGGGGTATGGTTCACTAGGAAAAAAAGCGACTTTCGCGTTTCGCGCGCGAAACATTTTTCGCTGCGGGAACCTCGGTCCACTCATGATCAGCGGTGGACCTGAGGTTCCCGCAGCGAAAAATGTTTCGCGCTGCGAAACGCGAAAAAAATCGCTACCTGTTCTGGTGAACCACACCCCAATGACGGGGTACCATTACCAACTAATGTGGCGCTACGGCAAGAGCCGATTTGTTACACTTGCACGTACCGTAGGATCAACGTCCAGCGAACATAAAGACAGAACTCGAAACACGCTGATTTCATCGAAAAACGAGCCGCCAAGTGGTTTTGGCGACAAAAAAAAACAATTAGCATCGAATAACCGAAGAAGCGGCACTTCTTCTCCCTTGTTGACGTCCAGTCTGGACTAGTTAACCAAAGCTGTTGGCGCTTCGGTGGCCGTTGCAACAACTTGAACGTACGAGCAGTTACTCTTTAAGTTATTGTTATGATAAAATGGACTCGTAATGCGCAAAGGAATCGCCTATACGCGCAAACAGAGCTGAAATTAGTAAAATTCTTGGCGAGCTGCTTGATAGGAAAGACACTCTCGAGAAGAAAATCACAAATTAGTCCGAGATACGATACGTCTGGACTCCGTGGACACTTTTTGCTCTTTACCTATATTGATAAGGTGATCTGCACAGCGAAAAAGCAATACATCATCCAATTGGACCCTCCTCTACCCTCATCACCTCACTTTTTCTTTCCTGAATGTCATTTTGACCAATAGCTCTGTCTTCAACCGCTCCTTCAGAAAGGGCCCGAATACGAAGCTGTCTCTTTCCCTTGATAGCCCCCCTCTTCCTTCTAGAAACCTGATCTGTTCATATATCCACGCGTGGATCACTATGCAGAGGAATGGTGAGTACAGGATGACAACACTAGTATTATACTACGGCTCTCTTTTCAAATATTACTGAGTACAAATAAATCAACAACATCGCTGAACAAACGAAGAGTGATTTCGTAAAAATAAATACTCCCACAGCTTGCCAAAAACTGTGGTCATTGACCTTGAGCGGAAAGGGAGCTGGACTCGTTTCAGACTTCAGATAGCAAAACGAAAGATTCCCAGTACATCACTAACCGTTCGAGAAGCTCGCTGGTTGTGAAATAGACTGCTACTACACGGTTTTAGGGCTATCATGTGCTTGATCTCGTCTGGATTTACAGCTGATCGCCTCAATATAATTATCCGAGATAAGCTGGATAAGCATGCCATGCTTCCACTCCACGCAGAGTTGTTTGTTGGACCACTGCCAGGTATTTGTCGGCATTTAATCTCGGCAAGAAAAAGCCATGAGCTTCCACTTTAGAACCGGCTCTGAAAGAGAAGGGGCGTGGCCACCATAGAATGGTCACATGCCCACGTGAATGTTCGATTGCATTTTAACTACGCCTCGCTTGCCTGGTCACGTGGCCACGCGAAAAGCGAAAAAGGCATATGCACGAGCGATGCACTTTCGACAAGAACAACACGAGCAAACTTCTGTCAAGATGACATCACACTGTTTGAGACCACAAAACAAGAATTTCTTTTACCGAATTTTGCACATACGACCGCTTACGAGAACTAAATGAGCACAAATAAATAGAGTTTTCGTATAAACCGTAGAGGGATGGAAGGCTGCAATGATTATTGCCTACAAATGCCACCACGATTCGGCACGAACGTACTTCGAGTGCAAACTATTGCCGAAAGAAGGATTGACTAACGCCAAATGTTTCATACTCAACCGTTGTATGTAAGAGGAAATAACCTTATAAGTGGCATGAAAATGACTTAGAAAGAATCTATAAAACATGAAAGGGACAAAGTGGCCGTTGTTGGTCAACCCTCCTGGAATGCAAAACGCATTCCCCTCCTATGAGAAGGTTATTACTATCTATTCGGCGCGTGAGGCTACTTGCCAGAACCCAGTCTGAGACCACAAAACTGCCCTTGGGGAGGAATTGTTTACTTTCATTTGACAATAACAGGATGGAAGGCCTTAGCCTTGCTTTGAGCCCGATCGGACCAACGACTTAACGAGAAAACTCTTTCTTTGTGTTAGACAGCGCACGAATCTTAGAAGCGCAACTCCAAAATAGGTCCACCACAAATTGTACCTCTGGTCACGAAACGATTGAGAAGAGACCCATCACGGATCAGACACTTCAGGTAGCCATTCCAGAAATATCCCTTATGGGCGACTTGAACAGGCTTTCAACAGCGGATGGGAGAAAGAAATGCTCCACGCAAGACTGAGAGGGAAGGACATTAACGTACGCTTGACACCATATTGAATACAAATTGACAATGGCACCAATATAAAGAGACGGTGCCAGGAAGTACCTGGATTGAACTTGATGGCATTACGAAAACAAGCAAGTGCATCATTGAACTGCGCATGAACCTCATACAACACGCCCAGATTTGTCCATGCTGCACTATGCTCAGGATCAAGCTCTACCGCACAGATGAACGCCTATAAGTTTAAAACTAATTCTGACTTCACCAATTTGATATAAGGATCCACATTACCTGTAGAGCATCCATAGGCTGATTTTGTTGGTGATAAAGCACTCCTATGCTACACCACGTATCAGCATCTGCCTCACTTTTATCAATTGAATGCCTGTAGTTGAGAAACGCCTCATGAGCCTGTAATGAGTAATCCTGTCCACATAAAAAATGAACAAGAAGAGTTAGCTCTCGACAACGACCTTGCACTATTCGCACAAGAAAGACTTGAATATCATTCGCGGATTTACGGAGAACAGGTACTGAAATTTTGTAAGAAAAAGAACGCTTCGGAAGGTAGTAGGCGCAAATGCCGCTTTAGGCAGGCAGGAGATGTGCGCTCAGGGGACAAGTTCTAGGTACTAGAACGGTGAGTAGATAAAATTAAGGTTATCTTGAGGCAAGCAGATTCCTACGCTACAGTAGGTGCTATGTATCGCAGCAAAGGCAGCAGGAAATTTTTCCTCAGATAATCCAGATGTGGTGCACTTTCCCCCCATGGTTCTCCAGTAACATGAAAACAGCACTGTGCCAACTGACCTATGATCTTAATTATGTCCTGCGCATTCGAGTTTCAGGCACAGTACTGGT